AGCAATCAGCATTAGACATTGCATCTCATATCACTTTTGGTTCTCTTCTTGTCTTCGCTTCTTCCCGTCCATCACCTCTGTGTCTGCACTGCCGTTGCGACGAGTGTCAGCTCTGCACTTGCGACGCCCTGCGTCTGCATTGCTCTAGCGACGCCATCGTCTGCACAGCAGACGCGACGCGTGTCGGCACTTGCTCTTGCGACGCCTTGCGTCTGCACTAGCACTTGCGACGCTCTCCCCCCCCTGAGCTACGCCATCTCACATGGTGGTAGGCGCCGGAGTTTCCTCAGGCAGGAAAGAAGATTCCGATAGCTGTGTTTGAATTTTGAGTTTTTCCTTGTGTTTTTTGAAGTATTTGATTTTTTGGAGTTTTATGAAGCAAGTGTGCTGAATTTTGGATGAATTTTTACGGAATTTTATCGAATTTATTTTTGGTACGTGGTTTGTGGTATCCGACCCGTACCCATCAACACGCCAAAGAATAAAACACTATCAAGTCAGATTTCGACTTCGGTGTTTCAATTTTTTGGTCCTTATTTACTAAATTGAATCATTAAATCAGCCCTCGATTTCGATTCAATATCTTTTTATTATCAAAGTCAGACTTCAAAGAAATGGAGAGCCGGGAATTAAGCTAATAGACTGTAGTTTCAGCTTACTGGTCACGAAATTTCTGGACGAGCTCTGGACAAGTTTTTCTTTGAGATCTTCAATATTTTTTGTATAAAGTGGCTGTTGTTAAGCCGGTTGCGTTATTTCTTCTTCAAGCAATAACTATAGCGACATAAAATATCACAATTTAGCGGAAAAATATTTTCAACTACTCAACTGCATTGTCAAAAATCAAGATGAGCAGCGACAGCAACGACAACAGTCATCATCAAAATGGTCATCTAAGTGACGATCCAGACAATGAAAACGCGGAAAACGTGAATGACCGCGATCTGAATAACTACAACAGAATGACCAAACAACAAATTGGTGAGGAATTGGAGAAGAGGAATGTGCCCGACGTATTCACCAACAAAAAGGACGCTTTTAACGCGCTCAAAAGGGTCATTGCGCGGGAAGTGCAGGCGCAGCAAGAAAGGCAATTACAAAACCAATCTAACCAACAACACGGATACAACATGCAACAAACAACATTCGCGGACGGCAATCCACATGCGGTGCAGGTTAAATACCCGAAGGTGGAGTTCCCAAAGTTCAAAAATCAAGAACCACGGGAATTTGTTAACCGTTTTGAACAAATATCCCAAATGGGAGGGCTAAACGATAAGCAAATGGTCCAAATGTTTTGGGTCAGCCTGGAAAAAGAAGGAGAACTGTGGTTTAGAAACAACAAAAAACGCCTCCAGGAAATTAACGAGTGGAATCGAGTGAAATTGGAATTTTTGGATGAATTTGAAACTCCCGAGAACCTAGGAAGTAACTGGATGACATTCCAAAACAGGAAGCAAGGAGCAGGAGAAGCTTCAACGGCATACATTGAGAACAAAATCCACTTAGCCGAAAAAATAAGACACAAGTTATCCGAAGTGGAGCTCGTTGACTGCATCATTAGAGGATTTTTGCCTAACCTAGCAAAACAACTTTTCCTCATGGACAACCCGGACATTAGGACGATGAAGAAAAACGTGAAAAGAGTAGAAGGATTGTTTATGGTGAACAATGACACACAAACAGCGAGCACAGCGAATCCGCAACCAGACGTCTCAAAAACTATAGAAGAAATCATCGTCAGGAAGCTGCAAGAATTAGGCATCAAATCCGGTGGAAAACCTGAAGAAAAATCTGTCAATGCCATCAGCAACAACACAGGACGCGACGAACGCGCAGCCAGAAATAGGAGCCGGGACAGAAACATTCGTCAGTATGACGATAAGCGAGACAGGTACAGGAGTAGTAGCAGAGACCGGGAGGACAAGTACCGATACGGCGACGAGTACCGTAACAGAAGAAACGGATCAAATAGCAGGGATTATGAGCGGAGAAATCGAGACTTCTCAAGAGACGGAAATCAAGACTTTTCAAGAGACAGAGAATATCAGCAAAGATCAAGGCAAGATAGAAGCTACAGCCCATGGAGACAACGTAGGGATGAATATTCCAGAAGTCACAGCAGAGACAGATATCCGTCAAATTCGCGTAGGAATGATTACTACTCAGGACGATCAAGACGGGACAACTACGACGACCGACGCTCATACTACAACCGAGAAGAGAGCCCAGAACATGGAAGCTGGCGGCGATCCGGCGATCGAAGATCCTCAGATAGATAC